CAAAATAAATTCAAGAGTATGGAAGAGCGCTTCAACCTGCCGTGCTTAACTCACTGCCTCGGCTTAGCGACAATGTGGTGGAATCATTACCTCAGGTCTCTCAGGTACTCAGAGGGAGAAGGGACGTGAACTCTGTTGGAAGCAACGAATAGAGATAGTGCACCGAGTTAATAGACGAGCACATGGGTTTACAGGTTTTTTTGGGTAGACTGAAGTTAACAGTACACTGTTGATTAATGAATCTTGTTCATAAGTCCAAGTTTTACAGATCCAAGGAAAAAAATCAAACCTGGAAACACATGCGCTTTGGGGTATTCTTATGTATTTAGTAACGAGAGTTTGCTTAACTTTCTCAACTTAAAAGAAACACTGAAATTGCGGCACTTAAGTTCAGTGGATTGATTTTTGTAGCAATATTCTCCCATTACTTCTTGATTGCAGCCTGCTATTGAACACCACAGAAGAAACATTTTGTCTCGCAAAATGACTGTAACAATACGAACCACGTACAAGAACTGTGATCTATTCTGTTGTCAAGCACGCCGCTCCTGTTTTCACATTGTCCACATCCTGCTTCTGTACCTCCCTCAGCCTACAGAGTTCTGGCCTGTACATAATTGTCTAAGTGCTTCTAGATGGCAGTGGGCGATTTGGTCATTTAGGGGCCTATTAAGTCATTAGTGCAGCAGAGGGACTGCCTTCTGCCTGCCGACAGGACCAGATGATCAGCCTGATATGTGTTGCCTTGCAGTTTTTCAACAGATTCGCGCAGGTAATTATAGCTTCAATGTAAACCACCCTCAGATGTCACGCTTAAAGAGGGAATGCACGTCACCAGCATGCTTTAAAGACAATCTCCATCTCTGCTTTTCCTCCTCCTCCTTCTCTCCTTTTTCCACTCAGCCTATGCGTTTGGATTTGTGTGTGCGGATGAGCAATAGGTGAGAAGCGGGACAACCAGAGCCTCGGGACATGTCAGAGAAAAGGATACGGAATGAAGAAGAAGGCAACAGAGACCCAAATAGAGTGAGGAGGTCAGAGGAAGTTAGAGTATAGTGCAGACAGTCATCCTCTGTGGCCAACACAATTTCTTTAAACCCAAACTTACAATGTAAATATTTGAATATGGCTAAGGTTGGTTGCTTAATTCCACCCTTTAAAGATGTGCTCTTTAGGTGAACACGGTCCAAGGAACACAAATCAAAGTATCATTCATCATTTAATATGACGCATGAGAATCTTATTTTGATTTCATTTCTGTAAACCTCGCCCAGCTTTTGGAGCCATTCATTACCCTGGGTTCTCAATATTACATTCACCGCCTATAAATGCTCATCATCTAAGTGCCACGCACAGCCAAAAACCTCAGTATCCCCACAGAAAAAGTCATTCCCCGTGGAAAGGCTGTATTTTATTTTTACCATTTCACTGCTTTTAAATCATCTTCAAAATTGCTGATTTGTATCAGTCTGAATTGGAAAACCAAACACAAATCATATTTAATATCATATAAAGTAGTAGTGACTTATGGGAAAAGTCTAAACACTGTTAAAAGGAATGTCTTTTTTTCCCAGACAGACAAAAGTTTGACTTTATGGTCGCTGTGTGTAAACTCAGCGGTTGCTATCGTGTATTTTTTATTATATGTTTGCAAGCACATGTTGGAAAATCTTAATGTCATCACTTTGCACATTATTTTACCATAAAGAAATACATTGTTGTGATACTTTGGCCATCTCCCCAGGCCTGAAAGTGCCCCACTGTGACCACAGCATGTGTGAGGCTGCAGCGTCAGCACAGCAGAAAGCCTCAGGCTGATGTCTGCTCTAGCAGAGGAATGCCACAGGAGCTGCACTGATTGAAATAGACACATCAGACTGTCACTGCATCTGTAAACAGGGCGCCTCCTAATCGGGAGGAGAACGCCTTCTTACTCAGAGGAAACTGGATTCACCAACCGCCCTCCCGTCTCGTAATAACATTACCCAATCTCCTTTCAAGCCTAAGGTGACGGCACTCGAATCTGTCACCGGTCATCTATCTCTCGCTCTCTATTTGCGCAAGTAAGTAGCTTGAGCTGATGGAAACTAATGGTCAGAGGTTGAACAAGGGACTCCATCAGACTGGTCTCGGTCTGCCTGCTCAGCAGTGCCCAGGCTGACCTCAGCAGACTGCCAGTCTCCTTACCGCTCTGCTGCTTGTGGCTCCGCTACCACCTCCCACCATGACCCATGACCCCTGCCCAGGAGAAAGGCGCCAACGATACGATGCAATTTCTCTTTGACGTGGTCCAGTGGTCTCGGCTGCCAAGTGACCCAGGCAAAGTAAATATTGTTGCTTATCACAGGCCAGCGCCACCACCAAATTTCCCAAAAGAAGTGTTGGACTAAATCAATTTTTCTTCCATGTCCCAACTCCAAAAATGAACAGACTCTAGGTGCAAATAAGCCAGTGGAGTTTGATGTTGTGCATTAATAACACATGGTACAGTTGCTATTATTATGGTGATAGTGGCATTTACTTGATAAGTCATTATGTAATATATGTATCTACCCTTGAGGGAACAAAAGACATACAAAGAGTGTTGGTTATGCAGTGTACACTCTCTCTGCTGACTGCACTGTCTCCAGCCTTTTCCAATCTGCGCTGAAAGCACTTGGTACCGCCCAGCTGTCAACCTACATCGGCCTTCAAAGGACTGGAGAAGAACCATACACCCTGCCTGCCTTTGTTTCCACAGCCTTAAACTGCCTCTCACAGAGACATCCACACCTCTCTGTCATCTAAAAAGACCAGAGAGAGGTCTCAGACAAACTGCACTCTTGTTAGACCACAATTGTCTAAAGAGGGTTCTGCTATACTTGATATCTCTCTGACCCTCCCACGCTACCACAAACACCACCACTAAACAGAAGATTACTGCTTTAAACATGCCTCCTCCTCCTCCTATTCCAGAGAGGATGATATATTTGCCGTACCACTTTTCAGCCAAAAACTGCTTCCTCTAAATTCATGAGTCACAAAGCAGTGCTTCGAGACCACCCATCTCCCAGGAGTCCACTGTACTGGTACTGTAACAGTGGGACCGGGCCCTCCACTGAGATACCTACAGTGTGATAGGTGATAAATGATCAGTTTTTAAGAGCCTCTCTGTAAAGTCAGAGTTATGGGATGGTGTTAAAAATGTACTTTTTATTGGGACCAAATTATCTGTGAGCCAGCCAGGTTTAGAGTAACTCCCATTTTAGCTCTCCCTTTGCTTATGTTTCAGATTAGCATTAGCAGCAACAAGATGCCGGTCACTCTCCATGCAGCTCTTTCCCCTGTTTCTTCCTCCTTAGTCAATGTATCTCAGACTTTCTCTCTCTGGTGTTTCACTTCTCTTTCCCCTGATTCCCACCCACGCATTTTCTGTTCAACTTTTGGTGTATCCATCCTTCTGACCTCATCGCTGTTATAGTCAAGCGTAGAGGGATCCAATCAACCATAGTGTTCAGATTAAATCACAAATTATTATAATTGAGAATAATGGTTTCCATGTCAGTTTCAGTTCAGCTCTGGATTGTTCTCATACATGTCTGGAAGCAAAGGGGGTTGGAAGCTCTGGAGTCGGTGGTGCCTATGTACAGGTTGGGTGAAATTCAAATTATTTGTGATAAAAGTTCGATTTAATGTGCTTATCTGAATTTGAAAGATCGTCATATGATTTTGTTTAAAGCCTTTTCATGCAAAAACACATCTCAAAGATTAAAGTCAAGTCAAGGTTCTTTAGAAACATAAACGCTATTTTCTAAAACTGGACGTGTGCTGCTTCTCAACCATGTTTGGGTGTAATTTAAGCAGTGTTGTTTTTAGGGGCAGTGACTGTCACACTAAATGCAGATCAACATTAAATACACTGAAAACAGGAAACATGGATCCCTTAAGGTAATAAGAAAACGACACCTGTACGGCACATAATAGACATAAACACTGAAAAAAACTCCCAAAGGCAATGGCAATATTCTCCCGAGAAACATAGTGTGCCTGCCCTAGCTTATTTCTAGGGTTAGTAAAGCTCTCAGGCATGTGCAGGGCATGCAACGCGACTTTGACAGCGTAGTTAGGAGGTGCTGATGAAAGAGGAGAGGCAGGAAGCCCGCTGCGTCTCAAATTAGCTCCCGAGCCCTCCGTCCTCTCGCATGGAGGTTCAGGCCCTCACAGATTCTCTTGCATTACTCAGTGAACATGGATGCATGAACCTTTTACATGTAGAGCGTGCCTTTGTGTGTAGGCAGTCCACGCAAACATGTGTTTGATTATGAATACTTTGTGAACACACATGCAGATTTCTCATTTCAAATTTTGTCAAAAGGCTGCATCAGGGAATAAAAACTATTAGATCATCTTACTCCTTCTTTGAGGCTCAACAGAGTTTTGTCTGGGAACTCACATGCCCTGAAAAATGTTTTACAGCCTCTATTTTAAGTAAGCTGCTGACTAATTATTTAAATAGAAACATATTTCCATTGCTTTTTACATGATACAATCAATTAAAAATGCACATACACCCTGTGTTTTGCTGATCAAGTAATTTGGTAATTACACTCCTCTCAAATTGCAGTATGAGTTTAGGATTACTGCAGAGAGCTTGACACACAGTCTGCATTAATAAATGAGAGACAGCGCTCCTCTCTTCTCACCTTCTTCAGTGTGTTATTGTGTACTCTCTCACACCCTTTTTCCAGATTCAGCAGTTAAATATGTTTGTGTAGTGAGGTGGAGGGACGTTCATAACCATAAAGCTGTCTACAGCAGACATGTTTTAATCACTTCTTTCTCCTTATGTTGTCTTCTCCCACATTCTTAGTTGCATGCAGTACATGTGTATATATTTTCATGTATTCAGGAGGATAAACGATGCTCCAACTTCACCAAATTGTTCTTGTCATTTCTTCGGCTATTCCGGCTGTGTACACACAGGAAAAATAAAGGCAAAGACAGTCATTTCATCCTCTTACCTGAGAGAAGTTGAGTCCATTGAGGGGATGACACTGCTCCTCCACTTGCTCAACTGCCCCTGTAGTCTTTCCCATTCGCTCTGCCTCTTGAGCTAGAAACAGGTCGAGCACTGGTGTCCCCCTGGACCGGACGTCCCATTCTGTGAGTGAGTTTACCATCAGCATTACCCACACAGGCCTCTTCCTCTCCCAGTTCCCTGCAATAGCATTGAACAGGTAGTCAGCATACAGGCCTCGGCCTCGCTGGTCAGCTGTCATCCAATAAGGCATCATGTGTTTGACGTAATCAAGATGGCGTTTGAGTCGGCGGTACAGATCTCGAGGTAGCAGGGTCTGCAGGTTTTCTCCGTGGGGCAGTAACTGGCAGCTGGTCAGTTTGGAGATGGTCAGGGGATCAGTCAGGTCCAGCTCAAAGTAAACATTATTGCTGTCATGGAAAGCCTGCTTGGAGCTGTTGGGAATGAAGTCCCAGACTCGGGTGTAGGGCACGTGGATGGTACCAAATAAGTAAGAAGGTGGGTGAGGAGGTGCCCGCTTTACTCTCCAAAGGAAAGAGTTCATGTCACTTTGCTATAAAAAACACACAAAAAAGAAGAAGAGGAAAACGATTTTAACAGTAAACAGAAACAAAAACACCAAAACCATCATGTCAGAGCTCGCATTAAAACTGAAAGTGACGGATTTTTCCTCTGTTGTGGTTTACTGGCTCATGGGCTCAGGTCAACAAGTTAAAAATTTGAAATACTATTTTAAAATTACACCGCAGGAAGTATGAAGTCTAGTCAGCCTGGGGCTGTGCTGCGAGCACTTGCAGTCAGGGAGTTTATAGAGGGGCCTTCTGGGCTGTAAACAGACCCCCGTGTATTGTTGAGGTGCATACCTCGGTTGCCAAAGCCTCTTTAGGCCTGGGAAGCATTTTCAGGGCTGTGGTGCAAATATACTACACTGGAGCTCATAAAAACCATGAAAGAAACCTGCACTCAATTCTGACCTCACTATGATACTTATATTTGGGATTTTACTTTCTTTTTTTGACATCGGGCATGAGGACGAAATGCTGACAGTCTCAAGTACAGCACTGATTTTGTCTCCAAGGTTTGTGTTACGGCTTTTTACTGTTGTGGTTGTCTTTAATAGAAAGAAATGTCAAAATTGAAATTAAATAATCACAGTCGTTCTAAATGAATATAAGGCTCTACTGCATTTAAAACATGTTTCTTATTAGCTGCTCTGCAAATGTGCTTTGCATGTGCTATGACTTTGATGTTGGCATTATTTAAATATGACAAAAAATAGCTTTTATAAACAATATCAAACTTCTGGCCGCTGAGACACAGTGCAATCAGGCATTTGAGGGATGAAACCCATTACTGTAAAATAAAGTTTTTCTTAGAAAATGTTTATTTCTAAAATTTAATCAAGATTTTCTTCAGCTGTGCTCCACTGCATACTGCCAATGCTGCCTTTGTCATTTCAACTTTTCAAATAGCGGTGCTCTTGTGGTATGTTTCTATAATCATCATAATTAATTGCAATTTACATACAGTAATTACTGGCACCAACTTGTGCTAGACAAAATAAATCAAAATGACCATATTTGATTTCAGGGCAAATTTTTTTGCAGACACACTGCGTTTGTTTCTGTGTTTCTAACCTCATTTTCACTCTGGCCAAGGCCACTCGTCTGCGAAGAGTAACGGGAAAGGTTTGGAAGGGATTAATATCATATTTTGGAAGGGCGGAAACTAATAAAGCATTTTGCACGTCCACCGTTAACGACGTGTACTTGGGCCTAACCGTAAACGAAGACGTTTTGACGTGGAAAGTGAGACGGTGTTCGTGTAAGACCTGAAAAGAGGCGAGAGCCCCTCTACTAAGGCAGCTTTGACTTTTCTGGCGAGCCTTGACGCACGGGGTTCCTTTTATGGGGGTAATTACTCTTAACAGAAAACAGAGACCACTGTACTGATGCATTAGAAATCACATGGAGCAAGCCTTCAGCCATATCTGACAACAGTACTATTATAGGACAACCTAATACAACAAATTCTGTGATCTGTAAACAACTCCTTAATAATATCTTCCGCACACTCAAGTGCCAAGTTTTTGTTTTTGTTTTGGACTGTTTCTGGGCTCTTGGGCAGTTTTCATGTGCTGTAATTTTTTTTCCAACAGAAAAGAGTGTTGGATATGATTCTTGAAGTCACGATGGCCATTAACTTCCCCCCCGCTCTTTATGTCGAAAATGCAAGAAGTGGAAGTCAGACAGCCGGCTGGGCAAGCACATTAACCGAGCTGGAATATGTCCGGGCTGCACTCCGGCACTTCCTCACGGTCTGTGAGTTCAAGCCACGTCCATAATTTTACCAATATGCCCGATAAGTGTTTTAATAAGCCGCCACAGTACTGAAACACGATCACTTCTGAAAGGTCAATGAAACTTTCCCAAATGAAGTAAGTCACCCGTGGGTGTTCCCACTTGCGTTTGTCACATAAACAGCCATAAAGTTGGCAAACGGTAACAGTTTCTCTTGGCAGTCTCCTTCACGTTAAGTCCCCACTCCACAGTTTTACTGCAGTATAAGGGTCTTTCATATATACCTGAACATTTACATAAACATAACGCACAAAGTTATTATTATTATTATTATTATTATTATTATTATTATTATTATTATTATTATTATTATTATTATTATAACTTTAAGTTATTGTTGCTATACCTTTAAGCATAAGTAATAAGAAATTGTAGGCTGTTTTCTTTAAAGTCATATCAGCCTTTGCGCTTGTTATAGACAAGTGTCTAAGTCAGAAAAACAATGACAAACTAGACTCTGCGCCCCCCGTCGTAGAATCTCCCTCCAAAGTGACCCAATGCTTCAGTGGAGTTTCGCCATATTATTCAAAAAGAAGTTATTAGAGAGAAAGGGGTGTTTAGGATGAACAGACAACAAGTGTCACAAAGCCGTAGGGTTGTTATTAGCACCATTCAGTTATGTGGGCTAAATAACGACCTTGTCGGGGCCAAATCTTTGCTTGGAGTAGCCTAGATTATTATTAACTTTCAAATACGCGTCCATCCCGGTGCACACGGAGAGTCACTGACTTAAGAAAGCCCTCCCAACACGACTCACCGACTTTGGAGCGTCGCACTGTCTCGGTCTGCCCGGTCGGTCTGCGCCCCAGGGTGCCACAGCGTGCAGCAGCGCGCTCAGGAAGACCCAGCTGATTCCAGGCAGAACGACCATCCCGTCGATGTTATTGGACACTTGTAGGAGACAGCTCAAAGCGGACTTTTCTCTCTTTTCTCCCCACTCTGTCTTCTCTGTTATTGCCCGGTTTCCCGTCTCCTTTGAAGTACAAAAAAAAAGTTACCGGTGGCCTCTGGGCTCACATGTGCAGGTCGGCGAGAGGACCATTCCGCCTCTTCGCCATTCCCGACGCACTCCACTTGTGAAAGTATCTGTTTCTGCTCTAAACTTTTCTTGGCTCCTTCCAACCCGGTGCAGTCCTGAAGCAGGAGCTATAAACTCTTTGGAGAGTTTGCGCTCCACGAACTTGGAGCGTCTTGACTGGGAAAGAGGGAGGTGGGACGGTCTGAGTGAGTACCCCACCCCACCCAAAATACACACAGCCCAGGTTCTTTTAAGAGGAGGGAGCACAGGTTCATAGAGAAATGACAGGTTTCCGCGAGTGAAGCAGCTCTAGCCACGCAGACCCCCAAAACAGTGCAGATTGGAATTAATCTTCTCATTAGCTGCTTATTAAGTTAATTTAGTTTCCATTTAGATGTTCCTGATATTTTTTTAATAACCCGAACTAAGGAACTCGTTTTTTTAAATTGATCCCAATGATCTTAAATGAAATATTTGCTATAGTGGTTTATATACCACAGCCATGCGCTATGATTGGGTATATGTACCTCATTATTATGAGGGGGGCTGTCACCACTAACCAAGAGCCCAGAGGGCTCACAGTACTAGCAGTCCAGAGGTTTGTTTGGTTTGGTTTTCGGCAGAGTCATTTCAAAGATGTAAATGAACACTATTTCAAATGCTGTCATGTGCTTCCTCACCAGTAGGATCCCATTCATCTCTGTCCTTCTCTGTTTGACATGCCTGCAGCAATAGGCTGCATTTGAACTGTATGGATAATCTTGGACCTTATATGCATGATTAATGGATGCAAATAAACAGGTCTAAGAAAAGACAACTGTGAGAAGTCTTTTATTTATCTTCATTCCACCACTCTTCTTAAGATGTATTAGTCATGATGAAGAGCAGGCATTCTGAAATCAGCGCATGTGTTGAGAGATAGTGGCCCCTCTGTGCAGGCACCGATGTCAACGCTCCACTACTCTACTGTGACCTCAGTTATTGTCCAAGTGGCAGACAGCGTGACAGAGTCAAGTAGTGGAAATTTATCATGGGGACCCCTCAAACAAGTGGCACCGAGCCCCTCCCAGCAGGCTGGGCAGACAGACCTCAGACAAGCAGCTCTTTGTCCTCTTTCATGTTCTCCCCTCCTCTCCACTCCTCTTCTCACCACTCCATGTTCACTTCTGTTACTGGGCAGCTCGGTCCGTCTGCACCCTTATTGTATTTTCCATTCAGATTGGCTGTTTGTGTTGAGTGCCTTTGATCAAGTTGTCTTTTAACCAAGTTTCACGTTGTAAAACTGTGACACTTCTGCTCTTTGACTCTTGACTCTGACTACTTTCGCTGGGAGTCATTTATCAAGATTTGAGAGTCTGACAGGTAGAAAAGTTAGCATGTTTTTGCTTTATGGATTTGCACAATGGTCCACTTGAATGCCACCTCATATTTTCACATACTTGAAACAGAAGGAACAACTCAAGAAAACCATGCTAAACAGATCTAATCTCTGCATCCTCACTACTCGGTTTCTCCCTTTTGTGGCTCTTGCTCTGAGACAGGTGTGGGACTTCAGTTAACGGTTTCATCTAGTCTAATGTGGCCACCTGTAGACCCAGGTACATGCTTTAACCACGCCTCGTAGAAGGCTTCTCTTTGAAGGAGCTTTCCACATTCTTGGCCGGTTAGAAGAGGGCTTATGAGCGGCTGGCTGCAGGATATTCCTGGACTGGGGCCAGCACTTACAGCATGGTGCACGTATATAGCTGGGGACGAAAGAAGACTTTAAAGTTAATGTTCTGTTAGCAGATCGCGGCAACGTCCACTTATAGAGCACACATCTGGGGAGGTGTTGGAGAGAGAAGGAGGCAGGAAAGGGAGAGAAAGAGAGTTGACTCGGCTGCAAAAGTATTTTTGACATGTTAAACAAGTCTGCAGCTGAATCCTGCCAATAGGCCTGTCCACACTTTTACTGGCTTTGCATATTTTTCTTTAATATGTCAATTACATCCAGAAGAAAGCATACAGATAGGGAAAGAGTAAATATGAGATTGAAGACACCCTGTTAATGTCTGTAGCCCTTCAGTTCAAAAGATCTGCTGTCTGCTTGTCCTTGTGGCCGTCCACATGTCTGATATTGTGCAGAAGTCCTGGCACAAAACCCCAATTTTAACTCTGCACCCTTGCCTCAGAGTCATTACTTGTCTTTTGTTATGTAATGCAAGAAGTATTATTTCCTTCATAAACACCACCGGTGCTCTACACCACATGAAAAGAGAACATCCATTTATATCCACTGAACTGTACAGAGATGTGTAACTGTAACTGAGGCTGGAAATGCATGCAAACTATTTTGTTTATTATGTACACAGGGACCCCTAGTGGTGTGAAGAAGAATTAAGCATGTGCACATTGTGGACAAAAGTAAGAAGAACAAGGTGGGATGGGTACCATGAGGGCATAAAAATTGCGCTTCAAAGAAACTGAGTATGATAAATCTGAAGGAGTGGCTTATAGCTTCAGGCTTCCATACCTCAGAGTCTGACTGTCAAGCTCGAAGGCCCCACTGGACACTCCCTCTTTCTGTCTCTTTCTGGTGTCTCAGCTGGACTAAACACGCATTCCCTTCACTACCTCCACCCATTTCTTGCTCAGGGTCTAATATCCTCTGTCCTCCTTTGAAGACGTCGAGTAATAATATTGACAGAGTCTCTGGTGAAAGGTTATTGTGGTTCCCTTTTCCGGATGTCCTGGGAAAAACGGGGGGTAAAATGTAAAGGTTAGGAGGTGGTAGAGAAGAAGGACAATTTTATGTGGTGAAATATATCAAAGAATTCAAGGAGTGGGCCCAAAATGTATCTGTTTACCCTAGATGAGTTAAGCAGAGATAAAAAGGAGGAAAGGAGTTCAACCAAGTCTAACGTGTAACGGCTATTTTTGGTTAGTCTCCAAGAATTTCTGCTGCCATTGGTGGGTCATGCAGACACTGATTTGTTTGGTGACAGCACATTTGGGTTAAATAGTTTTTCCTAGTAGTTGCAGTGATGTCTCTTGTTGCAGGTCAACACATGCAATTGACGGCCACACGTCTATCTTCATCCAGAATGAGCAAAAGCAGAAGGGGAAAGATGAGAGGAAGAGATACAATGACAGAGGTCACGGCAAGGGTTGTTTTTTCAGGAGTATTGTCTCATATAGATTTTTTTTAAACATCTGTCATTATTTTGGGGGGGAAGTAAAGTCGGAGAGAAATAATTCAGTTTAGTTAAATGAGATCAAGATTTGCATTTAGGATGTATTAATATTTCAAAATATACCTTTTAGGTTCTTTTGCTGTATAATAGTTACAATTAAGTCATGGAAAGAAAATTCACACTTTCACAGTTTCTTGAGATGCTGAATGAATGAATGAAAGCACACAGCCACCCTGTTTCCAGTTATTTGTGTTAAGTGGTTGCTGGCTCTCGCTTCACATTCACTGTGCAGACATGTGAGTTACAGTCGTCTCCTCATCAAGCTCTCAACGAGCAGGCAGATTAGTACATTTCCAAAAATGTTGAACTGCTTCTTCAAAGGAAAAAGCCTCACTGAAAGAGTGGGAAAACAAAGCAAATGTACAATAATTCCAATTTCTACTTGGGGTCACTGAATTGTTTGATTGTCTGAAAATGATTTGAATCATCATATGGGTGATTTTGGGACCGGCGGACGCTCTCCGCCATCATCATCAAGACGCCTAATAAGGGAGTATTTTTGGATGAATGGAGTTGATGCTTTTGGTACATTTCCACAAACTAGAGCTGTTTTGACAGCGTGTGGTGACCACACACCTTACTAATATGCTTCATGTTGAAATTTCCCTTAATATGCGTGCCAGCTGTTGATCACTTTCCATTTAATGATGAAGGAGACCCATCTTATTAGCAACAATGTACTTCTAAGGTCATTTTGGAAATGGTTTCTATGCTGAGATTTTGGTAAAGCAGCAGTTTTGATCATAATTTGTATTTTTTTTTTGTGGTCATTTTGTATATGTGCACACATACTGACGCTTTCACAGAGAGCCGTATCTTGTGTTTGTTTTCTAGAGCCTATAATTCTCTTACATCAAAGGCTTGGCTGGCAAAGTCACCTCATGATGCACTGCACTCTCTCCCACTGATCACTGGCATTGTTAGTAATTGTATTACCCATATCTGGAGCACCCCCTGCTATCTTCCCTCTTCTCCCCCATTTACCCCTGAAAGCCAAAGCTGAAGAGTTGGAGGAGTGAAAAGGCTCGTCCTGCTGTTAAGAAGATCTGTCTTTTGGCTATTTGAATGGTAAAAAAAAAATAAAGTATGGACAAATAATGATGTTTCCCCTCTTGTCATTTAAGCATACATACTGGTTCTGCTCCAAATCTCAGAGCTGGACAATGGATGCCATTAATATCACAATATTATGGTAATACAATATATATTTTGCCAGTGTTAATCTCTAATATACTGTTGTTGTTCATTGTCGGTGTCCTGTTTGGGGTTTATTCAAGCAGGGTTCAAAGAAGGCCACCAACGCCATATAAGGAATTTTTCATTGACTGGGGAGCACAAACAGCATGTGTTATGATATCATTAAATCAAAGCCTCTGGTCTGCACTGGTGTGCAGGGATCAGATGAGCTCTTCTCTAAGTCGACAGAAATCTGGGTTTGAACTTGACCGTCTTTTGAAGATTATCATATTGTCCGAAGATGCTTTATTGCCGCACGTATAGTAAATTTGTGGCATGAAAGGTTAAAAAATAAATTATGCTTTAAGATCAATAGAGAACAGGAAGCATTGGTTCAGCCGCTGTCTGCTCGTGTTGTTTTTCCACACACAGCTTTCCCTAGTTTCTGTGATTTTACACTGACTACAGAAAGCAAAGCCTGGCCTTATGCCTGAGTCAGCCTTTGGCAGGGAGTTTAGTTTGGTGGCAATGAAACGCTGTGTGTTTATCCTGTATTTATCCAAGGTTTATTTGGTCTCTTGCACATCTCTCTCTGTGGTCGTGTACGCCAGCTGCTGTGTTTGAGGGGGTAGTCTTAGTCATAGACCGACTTGAGCTTTGTTTACCCACATCTGTGAAGCTAGGTGTCCAAAATACTACATAGTGTGTACCTGGGTGCTTTGGACAGACATGTGGTTTGAACATGTGTTTGAAAGTATA